CATCATGTGAGTCCAGAGTTGAGAATAGTGTTCCCCCCTTTTGACCACAAGGCGATGTTCATGCACTCTGGTCTTAACTCTCTTGGCCGTCTCCCCCACGTAGTTTTTAGGGCAGTCTTTGCAACAGATCTTATAGACTACCCCCGATTTGTCAAACGTGGGGAGGGGGTCCTTGGGTTTCATGATGATGGAGCGGAGCATATGGCCAGGCTTGTGGGCCACCCTCACATTGTGGGGGGCAAAATCCTGGCTGTGGCTTCAGAAACATTGTGGATGTAGGGGAGGGAGATGCGGGTAAATTGAGGGGTGTGGTCATTGTTGGATTTATTAGGTGGGCCAAGGGGGGTACTGTAACGCTTCACAAGTCCGATGGGGTAACCATTCTGTCAGAAAGTGCGAAAAAGATGCCTCCTTTCCTCTGCTTTAGCTGTAGTCGTACTGCAGTGGGAATCGACCCTTTTAAAAAGTGTGCGAATGCAACCGACTTTGTGAGCCATAGGGTGGTTACTATGGAATTGTAGTATCCTATCAGTGTGTGTCGGCTTGCGAAAAACTTTGGTGTGGAGGGTTCCGTCTACTTGGCGGTGAACAAGCACATCTAAAAAGGCCAATTTGCCCTGACGTTCATCCTCCACTGTAAATTGAATGTCGGCACACACTGAATTCAATATGGTGACAAAGTCCGCCTTCTGACTCTTTTTGATGACCACAAAGGTGTCATCTACGTAGCGGGTCCAGAACTTAGGGCGAAGCTGGGCCATCGCTGCGTGTTCCACTCGCTTTAGTACGGCTTCAGCTATAACGCTAGAGATGGGTGACCCCATGGGAGTGCCCTTGATTTGTTCGTAGACAACACCCTGGAACGTAAAATAAACAGTGAGACATAACCTAAGTAAATCCACAAGGTCCTCAGGGCGGAGGTTATCCTGTTGACGTCCAGGCTCCTTCCGATAAAGGAGGTCTCTGATGACACGGCGAGATCCTGAGGAATGGAGGTGAAGAGGGAGACCACATCAAAAGAGACCATGGTCTCATCCTCATCCACCTTCAAGTCCTCTATCCTACTGATAAATTCCTCCGCTGATTTAACAGTAGTGGAGTTATCCTGGACCAGGTAGCCGATGCGATTGCTGAGCCATTTGGCCAAACCTGAGGTTGGAGTGTTCCTGAATGACACAATGGGGCGTAAAGGAACACCTTCCTTATGGATTTTGGGCAAGCCATAAAATCTGGCGAGNTATGAAAACTGGCATTAACATTAGTTACATTAAGTTGAAATTATTTTAAAAAGGGCATATGAATGGTATTAAATTCCATTAATATTTAAGATATTTTTCTATTTTGAATTTGTAGATGCTTATTTGTCGAGAGCTCAGATATATAGAAAACAGGGGAAAAATCACTTGGCAATGATAAATTACACTTTGGCACTGAGATATAGACCCACAGATCCTGAAATATATTACAAGAGAGGTGAAGTCCATGAAGAAGAGGGTGAATTAATACTGGCAATGGAAGACTATTCAAAGGTATGCATTATTACCTTTAGTTTCATTATATATTGACCAGGACGTAAAGAATTGCATGACTAAAATTGTGCACCAAAAGAATTAATTAAAAGAACATTTTTTTCATTTTTTCAACAGTGGTAATAATAGCTCTGAAACCCACATAATTTTTTATTTTTTATATAAAAGTTTTATTAATTTTTAAAAATTACAGTCTTTAGTGTTTAGTAAACAATACGTTGTCTGGGTTCAAATATTTAACATTAACTTCTTCAATATAAATCTGTTCAATACTACACAATCCAGTATTTTTTTCCTTATCCTCCTTTCTTCTCCATATTTTTTCCATTTTCCCCTCATTACACCATTACAATTTTTGGTACTGTTAATGTATGGAAAGTTAAATATAAGCATCTTCATCATATTTTACTAATATCATACAAGTAATAATATCAATTCATAAATCAATAATGTCAATTCATTAATCAATATCCTGGTTTTTGTGCTCTTGTTAAGGTTTGATTTCCCATCAGTATTTGAAATATCTTTATCAGTTATGATTTTCTCAATATTAATTATATTTATGTAGCTAAAAGTTTTATTCAAATCAATCCTCCTTTTATCTTCATATTTTCCATATCAAAAAAGAGAGAAAAAATGCTATCTTAATTCTAAATCATATCTTTCATTATAAAAGTCTAATTATATCTAAGGGTCATCCATTCTTTTAATCTTATTCAAACAAGTATTTAGGCATATAATGCCCCCTCTAAAAGGTGAAATCTTCTATTTTTTAAATCTGACTCTCGCTTTCTTTCTTTGCCAAGTTGCTTTCCAAGCCACAGCAATTAGATTGCCCAGGAATTTTCTTTTTATTTTTGTGAAAATTGCTTGGCATGAGGAAGACAATTTAGGTAGGGTATTTTTTTTGGGGGGAGGGATTCCTTGAGTTACTTATAAAGTAATAAAGGTGGGATAAAAATCTAATAAATATATAAAACAAATAATTAATTTCAATTCCCAAACATTAATTATATGAAAATAATGTAATAAATGCTACTCTAGTAGTATAACAAATAACAACAACAACAACAACAGTTTTACCAATCTTTTGGGGGTCAGCATGAACCACTTTGGGAAACCTTGATACATGCTAACCCCGAGAGTTCCATCCAGGTACAGTCATGTGAACAAGTAAGTACACCCTTTTTGACTTCTATGGTTTTACATATCAGGACATAGTAAAAAATCATCTCGTCTTTAGCAGTTCTTAAAAGTAAGTAAATGCCATCTCAGATGAGCAACACATGAGATATTATACCACGTCATCGTTTCTTTTACAAAAAGTAAGCCAAAAATGGAGAAGCCATATGTTGTTGTTCATCTGAGGTTGTATTTGCCTCCTTTTAAGAACTGTTAAGGACCAGATGACTTTTATGATGTTCTGATATGTGAAACCATAAAACTCAAAGAGGATGTGCTTACGTTTTGCACATGATTGCATGTATGTGTTGGGGGAGGAGCTGCACAGGCAGATGAAGCCATTCACCCAGACCTCCATCCACTTTTATCAATTTTCTTGCAACAAAAGAGGAAGCAATGAAACTTCCTCTCTTCATATTAGCAAATCTGCTTTAGATGGCTGGGTTTCTATTCCTAAATGATAGTGAAAAGCTAACTGAGGGAATTCCTGATGGGTGAGGGAAGCAATGTAGCTTCCACTTTTCTCCCAGTAACTTTCAGGGACTCAGCAGTCTCTTCCCTGTTCTCCTGAGTAGCTCCTTGATCAATTGGCTTTGGAGTTTCCTCCTTGCAATAGTGCTCCTAAGCTGCTGAACAATCAAATGAGCAATGGACTGCCATCACCTGCTGGAGACCACAAGGGGGTAGTTCAGCACCTGCAGGCAATTGCACAGATGTCTGCTGATGCTGGAGCTTATCCAATCTTGTTACATTCAGAACAAAGTAAATTATTCAAAAGCACTGTAATGTCAGCATTGTAATATTGTTATAATGCAATTTTATATGTTTATATTCAGAAGTAAAAAGTCACAATACACAAAGGGATTTACTGGCAATAAAATATGTACAGCATCAACATCTCTGCTGCTTCAGGGAGAAAACAAATCAAAAACTTAGAAGCTGATTCATTAAAAGCAGTTATTTATTACCTTTTAAAAATGAATGTTATTTGCATTGTTTAGAATTCAGAGGAATATTAAAATAAGAGTAAACTGTATCAAGTGTTGTATGTATTTTTTAAAATCAATTTAGTGCCTTTACTATGATCCGCAAAGTGTTGATGCATGTATGAAACATGGAATATATTATTTTAACAAATCAAATTGGACTGTAGCTATGAATAATTTTACAACTGTGATTAAAAAAGATCCAAAACATGCAGAGGCAAGGTAAGCACAAATTATATATTTTTTGAAATATTTGTAGTTTATTTCTAAACTACACCTCTACAGATATCTAATACAATGTCCTATTTCATTGTTTGTAAATATCCACAATTAACTCCCTCCTCTTCATCTCTGCAAGTTTAGGGATTTGTAAAATAGGTTTAAAGACATTTTTATTTGACTAGCAGGTTAGTCTTAGGCTTACAGTATATCCTGTATAAATGATATCAAACAAACATGAAGTTTATCTTGTGGTAAATATATTTAGCTATTTTTTTAAATTATAAACATCTGTGAAAACCTCAACACATATTAGGATTCTGGACTTCATTGAAGATGTTCGATTACTAATAAGTCTCTGCTTAAGCTTGCACCCTCTCTTAATGAAAAATAAATAAGCACCGTAAATAAGATGAGGAGAATGTTCAGAAAAAGGTTCTCATCATCTAAGATTCTATTTTAATCCTCTGAATTTTTCATTTGTTTTGATTCCCAAAATAAATTAATCTTGTCCTGTACTACTTTATTCAATGGAGTAGGAGCTGTGTTACCCACAAAATGAACCCTTAAGAAGATGATCTATTGCATATTTCTCCCGGTCATTAAAAGGAACAGTTAGAAATGCTCCTAACTGGGATAAAAATAATCTAACTAGTCTTTGGTGGGATTTAAACTTATATGGTGACTTGGAAATATAAAATATCAGTATAAAGTATATCAGCAGTCATTGAACACACAAGTATATTTGCCTTCATGGAAGTGACTGGGATAGCTGTTGTTTCTTTTATACTTTAATTATATAACAGGGTTTTTTTGGAAATTGTTCCTTCTAGCTCTTTAGGTTACATCTTACCTTCTAAGGTAAGAACTTTTGATATTTATACTTTCAAGTTTTAAATGACCAAAGTTTTCTTTATCTCAATTCATAGCATAATCTAGTATTCAAAGTACACATCTTGTCTGTTTGAATATATTCTATTTTAATTAGTAACATAACATCCTCACTAATAAATCCAAACCCCAATTTTCTTCAGCCTTATTCTAGCTTTCTTTCTTTGCCAACTCGCCTTCCATGTCCATGCTTTTAAATCATCAAATAGATCTCCCTCTGTTGTTGTATATATTATTTGAGATAAAAGAGACCATCCAATCGCCATTCTTTTGAGAGGACTAACAAATCATCTCTGTATTATTCCATCTCCCCATAGTTGTCCTGGAATGTTTATCTTCCCTTCAGCCTGTTCTTCTTCTTGCTCCTCAGATTTCTTCTGGTTTATATAGAAAGTCTTTTCCATTTTCAATGTTATCAGTCCCTTTTGTGAGTTTTCCATTAACTGTGTTTGTTGGTCTGTTGAATCCTCTATCGTAGTATTTGATTGTTTCACTTCTTCTATTGTATTCTGTATAGTTGATTCTTTAATTGTAGTCAAAGTTAGGGTTTGAATATCTAGGCTGACATCTTGTTCTTTTCTATAGCGTCTTATTTCATCAGAAGCTGTAAGAATAGTTTCAAAGAATCTGTTCCTGAGCTTCATCCATATTCTCTTAGTGGTGTATTAAATTAAAAGCGTTACGATCAGGGGATGAAAATAATTGTATCACTGGGTATAGAACACAGCTGAGCTTCTCACAGCTAATATCTGCCAAGGTTGAAGGAGTCTTATTTGTAGTCTAGGCTTCAAGCCAAGTCTCTTTTAGACAATAACAGGTTGTAGTATCAGATTTAGCCACAAGATGTCACCAATGCCGTTTAAAGTTTTTTAAGTCCAAAATTTTTATAATTCTTTTCCCAATTTTACTTCTTTTTTATAAGTAAAAACCCAAATCTTCAGTAGGGATAAGAAATCTTTTGGTCCCCAAATTTTAAAAACATATAATTCCAGTTAAAATAAGGTTATTCTTTCAGCATTTTAGACTCCCCTGAATAGTCAGTTGCCGCTGCTCTTAGAGGGTGGGATAGGATTTCCCTTCCCTCTCTCCACAGGGGG